GCCCGGTGCCCCTACCTGATGCTCACAGAACACCCAGCTCCCGCTCACTGCTCCCCCAGATGCCCCCATGGCCAAATAGGTGTGTGCCACATGCACACACACACATGCACACACACCACATGCACACGCATCTGCCCATGGAGATGCAGACATGTGTGCACACACACAGACGGGGGCACAGAGATCCACATACACACAGATACACACATGGGCACACAGACACACATGCACACACACAGATGTGGGCACAGAGATCCACATACACACACAGACACAGACATGGGCATACAGAGACATACGTGCACACACACGTACACATGCACATGCACAAGCCCATGGGAACACACATGGACACACAAATGCTCATGCACACAGACACATGTGCACACATGCACATGCACAGATATAGACACATGTGGACATAGGCACGATGCACATGGTCACAGACACATACAGTGGGCATGGATAGAGAAATGCATGTACATTTGTGCAAAGACATGGACACACATGCTTGAATGGAGACATATAAGCACACACTCGTACACACGCACACACATGGACAAGATACTGGCACATAAACATACAGGCACATGCACACATGGGCACACACACACATGGATGCCAGTCCTGGGCACCCAAAGCCATGCAGTACCCTGAGGCAGGTACTTCCTCCCTCATGGCAACACACCCAGCTCAGCCCTGCCACTCCCTGCACCGCACTCTCCACAGGGCTCTGCCTCAGCACTGCTTGTCCTTCCGCCTCGGCTTGGACGGTGGCCCTCCAAGACTCTGACCACGGGCAACCTCCCCAGAACTGGGCACAGGGTTCAGAGGCCACACCGAGGCCACACGGCCGGCTGCAGCACCTCAGAGAGGCCCAGGCCTACATGCAGGCCCCTGAGGCTGCCAGGCCCCCCAGCAGCCGCCTGCGGTCAGGCAGAGTGAGGGCCTGTCCTGCCTGCATGTCAGTCCAGGAGGCCCTGCTGTGCAGGGGGAGCTGCAGGCAGCCTGACCTGAGCAGGGTCTGCCCCAGAACCCCACCACTGGAGGTGCGGGACAGGAGACACCCCCGCAGGGAGAGAGGGGGCACAGAGCCCAGTGGTCAGGGAGGGGGACAGGGGCTCCTTTCACAACAGGCCACCTGCCCTTCCCATGTCCCCAAGGGCTGTTCTCTGCAGGGCCTGCAGACCCCTCTAAGTGTCCTCGATGTCACCCTCCCTGGGGCCTTAGGGGGCTATCTGACCCCGAGTCCCAGAGCTATGAGTCTGACGGGCACCGAAGCCAGCCAGGACCCCACTCAGTCCCTCACATGTGCTGCCCACTCTGAGGACAGAGAGACTGAGGATGAGGTCAGCTGACATGCGGAGAGGGGAGCCCCCAGGCCTAGACATCCCCCTGCACCCCCTGTCCACCCTCACTGGCCACATTGGCTGCGGGTCTGCTCACCCCATAGCCCAGATGACAGGTGGTCCCCTGCCTCTCAGTCTCCAACGGTGCCTCCTGCAGGAACCCAGGAGGCCCTCACAGGGGGTTCCACCAGCTCCTTGGCTGTGCTGCCCTGTCACCCTCACTGCCACAGCAGGACTCCGAGGACAAGGTGCTCAGCCTTGGCCACTATCTGCCCCTGCCCAGCCCCCACTCATGCCTGGCCTGAGAC